GCGCCGGGGGCGGGGGGGTGGGGGGGGGACTTGGGGGGGCCTGGTGTGAGCTCCAGGTGAGACCCAGGGGGGACATGGGGGGGACATGGGGGGGCCTGGTGTGAGCTCCAAGTGAGACCCAAACTGGGGGGGACACAGGGATGTGGGTGGGGGTGGGAACTGGTGTGGGAATGGCCCAAAATTGATGATGATGATGATGATGATGATGATGATGATGATGATGATACCAGAGTTGGGTGACAGTGATGATGATGACGACAATGATAATGATGACTCTGAAATTTGGGGATGATGATGATGATTGTGATGATGATGATGATGATGATGATGATTGTGATGATGATGACAATCTCCTCGGAGTTTGGAGATGATGATGATACTGGAATTGGACAATGCTGCTGATGATGATGACAGTGACAATGATGATGACGATGATGGTGGTAACGAGTACAACGATGACAACGATGAGGATGACGACGATAACAATGATGGATGATGACGATGATGACAATGGTTATAATGATAATGACAATGATGACAATGACAATGCTGTCAATGACAATGATGATGATGATGACAAAGGTGATGATGGTGACGACAACGATGATGACAGTGACAATGAAGATGATGACGATGACAGTGATGATGGACAATGATGATGACTGTGACAATGATGACAATGATGATGATGGTGATGGTGGTAATGATGATAATGGTGATGGGGGTGATAATGATGACGATGACAATGATGATGACAATGGCAATGACAACGATGACAATGACGATGATGACAATGATGACAATGACAATGGTGATAATGACAGTGCTGACAATGACGATGATGATGACAATGATGGTGCTGACAATGACAACACTGATGATGATGATGATGATGATGATGATGATGATGATGATGACAATGGTGATAACGATGATGGTGGTGACGATGACGATGATGAAGATGACACTCCAGCCTTCCCCCCAGGACCGGAAGCTGACCAAGGCGGAGCAGCAGCGCTTCAAGGAGGAGGCCGAGATGCTCAAGGGGCTCCAGCACCCGAACATCGTCCGGTTCTACGACTCCTGGGAGTCGACGCTGAGGGGCAAGAAATGCATCGTCCTCGTCACCGAGCTCATGACCTCGGGCACCCTCAAGACGTGAGCGGGGCCGGGGCGACTGGGGGGCCACAGGGGGCCTGGGGGGGTCACAGAGGGCTCACCCGTCCCCCCCCAGGTACCTGAAGAGGTTCAAGGTGATGAAGCCCAAGGTGCTGCGGAGCTGGTGCCGCCAGATCCTGAAGGGGCTGCAGTTCCTGCACACCAGGACCCCCCCCATCATCCACCGCGACCTCAAGTGCGACAACATCTTCATCACCGGCCCCACCGGCTCCGTCAAGATCGGGGACCTGGGGCTGGCCACGCTCATGAGGACCTCCTTCGCCAAGAGCGTCATCGGTGAGCGCGGGGACGCCGGGGACCAGCCTGGGGACACCTGGGACCATCCAGGGAACTCCTGGGACATCCTGGGACCAGCATGGGGACACCTGGGAACATCCTGGGACCAGCATGGGAACATCCTGGGACCAGCATGGGGACACCTGGGACATCCTGGGACCAGCATGGGGACACCTGGGATCATCCTGGGACATCCTGGGATCACCATGGGGACACCTGGGATCATCCTGGGACCACCATGGGAACATCCTGGGACATCCTGGGACCACCATGGGGACACGTGGGATCATCCTGGGACCACCATGGGGACACCTGGGACCATCCAGGGAACTCCTGGGACCACCATGGGAACATCCTGGGACCACCATGGGGACACGTGGGATCATCCTGGGACCATCCTGGGACCACCATGGGGACACCTGGGACCATCCTGGGACATCCTGGGACCACCCTGGGATCAACTGGGACCACCCTAGGATCACCCTGGGAACATCCTGGGACATCCAGGACCACCCTGGGAACCTCAGGACCCCCCAGGACCACCCTGGGACCCCCCAGGCCTCCCCCCCTGGGGTCCTAGGTGCCTGGGACCCACCAAAGACCACCCTGAGACCCCCCTGGGGACCCCCAGGACCACCACCTGGGGTCCTCCAGGACCACCCTCAGGGGTCCTGACCACCTGGGACCCCCAGGACCTCCTGGGACCCGGCCAGGGGTCCTGACGCCCCCCTGCCGCCGCAGGGACCCCCGAGTTCATGGCCCCCGAGATGTACGAGGAGCGTTACGACGAGTCCGTGGACGTTTACGCCTTCGGGATGTGCCTGCTGGAGATGGGCACCTCCGAGTACCCCTACTCTGAGTGCCACAACGCCGCCCAGATCTACAGAAAAGTCACCAGTGTGAGACCCCTGAGATCCCTGAACCCCCCC